CTCACATGAATGGTTTAGGGTTCAGGGCTGAGGGTTTCGGGGTTTAGGGTTTCGGTGTTTAGGGTTTCGGGGTTTAGGGTTTCGGGGTTTAGGGTTTCGGGGTTTAGGGTTTATAAGTCTAGGGTTTAGGATACAGAGCATAAGGTTTAGGGATATCGGGGATAATGAAAAAGAAAATGGAAACTGCTATATAGTATATTGGGGTTATATAGGGGATAATGGAGAAGACAATGGAAACTACTATTTGGTGTTTCAAGTTCAGGGTTTGGGGTCTGGGGTTCGTTCAGTGTTTACCTCCCCGCCCCAAGTGATCCAGAACCCTCCAGGGATCCCAAACTGGAACCTCCCAAGAATCTAACCCTAAAACCTAAACCCTAAACCCTAAAACCTAAACCCTAAACCCTAAACCCTAAAACCTAAACCCTAAACCCTAAAACCTAAACCCTAAACCCTAAACTGGAATCTCCCAGTTCCCCTATGTTAGCGTCCTGTAGTGGCGGGAGCTTGAGGCCTAGATGACCCAAGACCAAGCGAACTATACGCCACAGCAACGGAATTGCTAAGGCAGCAGAGAGACCAGAGAAAGTGTAACAAGGGCCCATGCATTGCTCCATGTTCAGTGGGGGGGGGACCTTAACTACTTCATAGTCCTGAAATGGTACTAGGGATGCTCGTGATATACGACCGAAAACCCTATACCGCAGAATAATCATTACTAATAAGACAAGTGACAAGTAAGAATAAGAAGACTAGTAACGGAATCATAGTACCCCAAATCCTTAACCCTACAGATTGGGGGTAGTTCGAAGAAGCCCTGAGCCTTTACCTGGGTTGCTGACCAGGAACTTACATGATAAAGAAGCCTGTTATTTATGAATACCCATATCATGGCAGCTAAGCCTAAGGAACTAAATGCCTTCAGTCCCCAAACAGCCCCTGTACAAACCCAAGTTTGCATTTCATCGTCCAATTCCATTCTCGATTTGATTCTCCATCACTTGCAAGTAAATCCCAAACCCTAAACCCTCAAAATCTATACTATGGTGACTTAATACTAAAGTCCGTATTGTGGTAACTTGATTTCAGTTTGTCAGCAGAAAATCAGAACTTGCAAGTTCAGTGTAGTTATAGCCCAGGTATACCTGTGCTTACAACCCAAGTACAAGCCCCCTATCACCCCTATTAGGTCATAATTGGGCAATTATAATTGGGATGAAAGTACTATCAACCCTAAACCCCAAATCTTCAGCAATATACGTCCCTATGCCCCCTTCTGTGGGACCCTATAACCCTTGTAGATAGCTCATAATTACCCTAAACGTCCAAGCAAGAACCACCAAAACCTAAAACCCAAAACCCTTCCAGAACCCTAAGCCCTAACTAAAAAAACTCGAACCCCTAAACCCTAAA